TGGGCTGAGAGATACTTGCTTGCTGTCTCTGGACAAAGAGTGAAGGGTTTACCAGAAGAGTCTGCGTACTTGTCCGGATGAACATAGACAAGACTAGACGGCCTCGCCATTGAAGCTGCAGAAGATTCCAAGACGCTTTCGCAATGTAGCCGCGTTGATATGGTATGCCTAGCAGGCAAGAAGAAGCAGGAAACGTCGCTGTTTGGAACGTAGAATGGCCAGGAGTATTTTAGAGGTCCTCCATTGAAGTGGCCGACAGCTGCTAAGAACCCGTCTGCTAAGCCGTCTCGAAGCCTTTGGTTCCACGGCAGAGACTCATCAATGTTCGAACGGCTTGCTGTAAGAATGAAATCACCGTTCAGCAAGAACTATCATCGGCGATTAACGGACCGATCCTATATCCAAAAGCGGGGTATAATTACCTTCAAGCCATACTCTCGGATGGGGAGTAGTGCGAATACTTGTTGACGAGCTGGCATTGGTTCATCAGAGAGACTTATGATTGGCAACGCAAAGCTAAGGGCCGATGACGACATATGTAGCCTTCTTGGGTCTGGAGGGAGATCTTTGACGTGGTGCTCAAATGTCGCAAAGTGCTGTTGAGTACTACCAGTGTCCAATGTCGTTGTTGTGTTCATCCCGTCCGATCTAATTTCTTTGAGAATATCTTGTGACCACTCGTAACCATCGTTTTCAAGGACCTTGATACATACTCTCCTCACTCTCCGTAAGAACAGCAAAAGACGAGGGTCGAAGTCTTTCAACTGTATGACCAATTCTTCCTGATTGTACTCCTCCGCCAATTTGAGAAAGAACGATGTCACACCAGGGATGACCGGTCTCGGAAAGTCAGCCCACACGGGGGCTATCATACCAAGCCTTTGGTATTTCTCAAATTTGAACCTGTATTGGCGGGACGATATCCAGACTTCATCCGCAATACGGTAGACGCTTTTAAAGCCAATGCCTTTCTCTCCGGTGTAGCCATGAGAATGTTTGCTGCCGCTTTTGGTGCTGTGGCGGACAGTTGATATTGCCTCCACATGGTTTGCTTTGAATCCGTGCTCGTTGCAGTCCACGCGAAGCCCACCGGGCTCGAACGTGAAAGTAAGAGTCGGCAATATGTTTGCATCGTAACGGTTGTCATCTGCATTTTGCAAAAGCTCCAAAATGCAATGCGTCGATTGTTCGTACAGATCGGATGAGGTCCTAGGCACTTGAGTAAACCAGAACTGGACCAAGGAATGCTCAAATCTTACATATAAAGTAGACTAGTCACTATCTCTGCTAGCTCTTCATGCGCGACGGTGCTATGCTTGACTCGAATAGTCTCGATCAGCTGTCGCGCCGCATGTTCCTGCATCGCAAGCGGTGTTCCCTCAGCCAGCGAAGACATCGAACCTGGTTATTGCAATTTGTTGTTGTATGATGCTCAGCCTTGTGCATACCTAGGTAGCTCAAGCCGGTAAAATTCCGCGGCAGCGTCGCAAGGTACAAGCCTGTGGAGCGTGTGAGAAATACAGCTGAGTGCGACAAGAAAAACGGGTGACGAGCACGATCTATAGTCTAGACTCAGTATCCGGCGATGGGGCTGCCTCAGACGGGCTGTCAGGCATCGTGGCGCTTTCCAAGCTTCCGGTGAACCGCCCATCTCGTGTTCAGCTGTGGTGAGCATCCAATGATGGTTTGCCCCACGCCCACCGATAACATCAGCTACGACTGCTCCTTTCGTGATTGACGGGAGATGCGGAGTGCGTATCTACGCCTAGTCTGCATGCGTACGGTAATGGATGTGGCAAATGCACATTTGCGGAAATGCAGAAGTCTACTCGAGGTGGCCGGCGTGTATTTATGAGCCTGATGCGCGAGAAGGGGGTATTGGACCAAAGGTATCTTCACCTCCAGAGAATTCAGCCGGTGTGTAGAAGGCTCAAGCGCTGAGCCAGCCTCGCCGACGTCATCACTTACGATCTCTTGGCGGCCGCGACTGGCGACATTTCGACATGGACTATCATCTTTAACGTCATTATTCAATTTTGAATTAAATCACCTTCTCTGGTCTGAGTCTTGTAGGTATGCTATGGCAACTTTGCTTTTCGACAACGAATTGCGACAAAATGTGGTGCGGCTGGCGCTGGGAAGTTACGACCAGATCAGCCGGCCGGGGTTTGTACAGGTGCCTTGATTCTTGGGGCCAAAAGGCCCAGCAGCAATCCTTCGCGCAGGCAGCATGTTTCGATGCAAGAGCTTGAAACTGCCTACTAACTACATTCCGCCACATCTTCTTACCCGAATCTCGCTTCCCCCACACTAGCGCGGATGCGACGGAAGTTGGTGGCCTGAGCGTGCATCAGGGGGATGCGCGCATCGACGTTCTGATCCATGGATCACCTCCTACAATTCTCACGTTGCGCGTCCGCCATGTTTGCGACTGCTACGCATTCGTTGTTGGTGTTGTTTCCCCACGCGCTCCGTTTTGCTGCGGGTCCCCTGCCACCGCCCCCGAGCTCGTGCGTCATAAATATGACATCCCTATCCCGCCTCTACTACGATGCGACACAACTTGAGGCCATTGTTACTTGGTGTATGCGCGAACAATGCTACCATCGTCACCATGTACCTGCTAGGCGGCACCTTGACAGGTGTAAGGGTCTGCTTATCTCTTGCTCCATAATCTGATGCTTTCCAGGGCATGTCATTCCTTCCATCATCCAAGCCACTGGTCGAGCAGGCGGTCGATGGAAAATTCCATGGGGAAGTATCCGATAGCATCGGTGGGTAGGAAGTCGATCCAGTCACTCAAGGGGCCACGAGGATCGATCATGCTCACGGCTTTGACGAATTCCCAAGACTCTGGATACCAGCCTGCTGCCTCCCAGTCGATGATAGACGACACTCGAACGACCTTATGTTCAGTGTGCATCACCTCAACCTGCACTGGAATAGCCTGGCTAACCTCCAGAATCACCATGTTATTTCGGGGGTGCAAGTCACCATGAGTCATAACAATACGATGATCGTCCTTCATAGAGCTCCGAAGCATCTCAACACATGGCGTTACTGTTTTATTGGGGTGCTGGAGAAGGAAGTCGTTGAATTCCGCTTCGGTGCGTAGAGGTGCTGAGCTTATGCGTTGATTTCTCCTCAGATCTTTGCATAATCCAGACGTAAAACTCCCTAGACGTACACCGGATCCAGAGTCCTCGGCGGTAGGAGTGCGGAGGAGCCGGAACAAAGAATTTAGCTGCTCCTGTACGGATGTCTTTTGCGTAGTGGAGAGATCTGGCCAGACGCTTTCAAGTGTAGTGCCTGTTGCTCGGGACATGAACAGACAAGTCCTTTGGTCACTACGTAAAACGCCTAGGCAGTGGGGAATCGGGAGCTTCGGCACGTGTGTGGCAACGTATTGTATATTATCGATATGATCAGGATCAAGAGACTGGGCGACTTTGACTACATGGCTCGGCCCGAGCTCGATGACGAAGGTGTCGTGGAGCTGAAATAGGATCTTTCCACCGCGTATTAACTGGTTGAATGCAGCCGCCATTTCTTTGGGTATATGGTTGAGCACTTCATCGCACTCTGATGCTGGATGCACCAGATTCAGCACCGATTGGTCTAAAGAGTGAGTGACTTTGACGGAGCCATCCACTAGCAGGTCCAGCAGCCCAGTCGCAACGGAGGGCTGGTGATCATCATTGTGCGACTCATCAACTGGGGATGAGTTAAACGCTTCGGCGAGCTCATCGACCAGACGAGGATACGCTGTTGATTCTCGCTTCAAGACTTCAGAAATATCTGCAGCAGGGTCGTGGCTCACCATTGAAGTCAATTGGCTGAGCGTGGCTTCATTGGCTAAACTTCGCGCCTCTCGAACGGCGACATGGGTGGCGGTAAGCTTTGGATCCTCTGAGTCTGCTGCGTGTGGCATGTTGAGCGTCCTGAAGTTGTAGATAACGACCTCGGAAGTTTGGACTTTTCCTTGCGGAGGTGAAGGTTCATTGAGAGCCGGGCGTGTCACGAGGTTTACGGGGAAGCCGAGGGGCGCCAAGCCACTAGCGTTTCCCCACACTAGCGCGGATGCGACGGAACCTTGGAATTTGCGGCCTCAGCGTGTGTCACGGGGATTTCGCGCATCGACGTACTGAACCATGGATCACCTTACTTCCCACACTTCTCATTTTGCGTGTTCAACATATGCATCATATGCGACTGTTACCCACATTTTGTTGTTGTTGTTTCCTCAGGTCGACTGCCAGGTGTCACCGCCTCCCGAGGTCATGCGTCATGCGTCATGAATACAACATCCTTCACCCCGCGTCTCGATACTAAACGAAAGGCAATGCCACTACAGGAGCATCGCGTGTTAGATGCACCACAGCTCGGAATCTTTCATGAATAATCCTCGCATTCTCACGACGAACGACAAAAGCGATACAACTTTGGGCCATTGCTACCTAGGTTCCTGGTCTACGTCAGATCAATGCAGTCATCGTCACCTTCTGCCTGCTGAGCGGTAGCTTATAGGAACCTACGCAGGAGTAGCGGCCTTCTTAGTACACTGACACACGACACAGTTCGAAGAGAAGTCAAGTACCGACACCATTGTGATTGGGCCCTAATAGTCTTATTCCGAGCCCAGGATGCAGCGACAGAGCCTGTTCATACGTTCCTAAGGGGGTAGCTGACCATGTCAAGATGGCTAATTCCAAGCCATGTAGTAGTCGCGACGTGTTCTGGGCAGAGGCGCGAAGTCTAGAGTAAGTGTTTCAAAGGTACCGGAGAGCTTGGCCAATCACGAGTCCATATCGATATGAGGTACAACATCGCGGAATCTGGGGTAATTACCAGGTGTGTATGGGTAAAGGGCGATTACGAACGAAATCACGAGCCCAATATCCCGGTCGTTGGTCACTACAAGACAGACATAATGTGCTCATCGCTTCCCGTTTTGAGAAGTTCTTGGGCCCATCGACAGCAACCCGTCCCGTCACGCAGAGATGCGACTCTCCAGTATCGCAATACAAGGCTTCTTTACCACCGCTGTCCATGCCCACGGCCGAATAACCCAAATCACGACATCTAGCGGAGAGATACACGAAGGCTGGGATCCCGCTTCCTCGGACGATCTTATACCTCCGCTTCCACTTGCGGCATGGTCCGCATCAAATCTCGGCAACATATACGTCCCACCCTCGCAGTTCAACAACTCCAACATCGCCTGTCACTACAACGCTATACCAGGCGCTCTCCATGTCAACACCACCGCCGGTGACGAGCTGAAGCTACAATGGAACGAGTGGCCAGTATCGCACGTCGGTCCCGTCATGACGTACCTGGCGGACTGCGAGGGTAGCTGCACGAGCAGGACAAGTGAAGATCTGGCATGGGTGAAGATCGATGAGCTTGGATGGCTGAACAGCACAGGCTGGGATACATTGGATCTCGGTGGCACGTGGGCAGCGGATGTGCTCATTGCGAATGAGTATTCTTGGATGGTCGAGATACCGGAAAGACTCGCGGAGGGGTACTATGTGTTGCGACATGAGATCATCGCGTTGCATGTTGCGGAGAACCTAGATGGCGCCCAGGCATATCCACAGTGTGTCAACTTGCGCGTTGCACGGAAGTCGAGTGAAGAGGGGAAGAAGCTAGTTGGTGGTATTCTGGGAAAAGAGTTATATGGCATGAAGGATGAAGGTATACTAGTAGACGTACATCGGAAGCTTGCTGGGTACAGGATTCCGGGGCCGAAGCTATGGGAAGATGCGACACGTGTACGCCAGCCTAATCAATGATGCTGCATTCATTTCATGCTGGGAGCGAGTCGACTTCCAGCTTACTCGAAATATTCGACTCACCCAAAGGATCATATGATGAGTTCTCGAGGTATCTTACCAGCAATTTCACCACCTTGGCGCCTGACCAATCATACCCGCGACTGCATGAATTGTAGAAGGCTTTCTGTCTTCCACGCTGCGTCTGGGCGGTCAAAATTCTCACTACCAATTGCAAGTGCATCAAATAGTAAGTCTATAAGTTGCGTCAAGCACGAAAACGTTTGAGGCGCCTTTGGTCTCATCTGATCTTGTAGCAAGCTGAAAAGCGCTCCGGGTGAGTTGTACCCTAGGTATCTTGCCATTACTACGGTGTCTCTGACAATCGACGATAGGTATCTTGGAACTAATACGAATGAGAGGAATGCCAAGTTTGAGTGAGTACTACAACTTAACAATCACTGTGCCGGGCGTTTACGAAAGGCTAGTCATCTCACCAGCCCGTCCGGGAAAAACATTGCGCAATGGAGGATGAGTTATTGCGCAATGCAGGATGAATTATTGCGCAATGGGCGACAATTGCCAGACCAACTCCACTTTCAGTGTCTCTTATCCAACGCGCCCAGGCCAACACACAGATATAAAATATCTCTCCGGATCCGACGCACATCACTTCTACCTCTACCTCGAACTCGACATCTCAGCCGCTGAACACGTTACAAACATGCTTCAGCTACTCGATCTACCGATAGAGATCGTCCAGCGCGTCTTCAACACACTAGCCAGAAAGCATGGTATACCAGCAGCGTGGTTGGCTCGAGGAACCTGCAGTAAGTACCCAACAATACAACAACCGCACACATGACATCCCAAGCTGACAGACTGCGACATTAGCCTCGTTCCGCGATTACATCACGTACGACATTCTCGCCAATCCAGCCCTCAACGCCTACCTCAAGACGCCTGCCGGCCGCAAGATCCTCAAGGAGTACCTCGCCGACTTCCTCTTCGTGCGAAGCAAGAAGCTCAACGGCTTCGCACGCAGCCATGTGACGGACTTCATCCGCGCTATCCTGCGAGCGATGACTCCATGGATCGCCAACGACACTGAAGAGGCTGCACTTAGGAGGGCGCTGTGTGAACTGTTTGTTCGCAACCACAGCGACGCGTTCAGATGCGTTACCACTGACTTCAACAAATTGGGATACTACATGCCGAACACCATCCGGGTCACTGATACTGCCCTGATTGCTGCAGCCGCCGCAACCGGAAAGCTCGACGCGTTGAAGCACTTCGTCGGCGCTAACAAGTGTCTTCTGTGGACGCAGTCACTAGCTTTTGGTTACCCACTTGATGCTGCGGTGTATGCGGGCCAAGAAGTTGCCACCAAGGCACTGGTACAGCAAGCCATCACCAATCAGGACCGAGACGTCGCTGGATACCAATACAGCGAGCATGTATCCTTCCGCCAGGCCATCTGTACCACTATCGGACTGGAAGACGACTCTATGACCATGACCAAATACCTCCTGGCCAAGTACATCACCGCGTTCGGCTCAGCAACCGAAGCCTGCATGAAAGCCTGGCTGGACAAGGCTATCCAAACCAACAAAGAAGAATTACTCAAGCTACTTCTTGCTTTGCCTTCGCAAACCGGTCCATCAACCATCTACGCCGCTTTCGAAACTGCATGCCGTCTTTCGAAGCCAGATCTCCTGCATCTACTCTTCGGTCCTCAGATCGGTCAAACTACCCTAGCCATCAACCAGATCCAAGGCTCCACATACGCCCTCCTCACCGCCGTCAACTTATGCACAACACCAGCCGCTGGCATCTTCATCAAGTCGCTGCTGGAACTAGGCGCCGATCCCAACGGTCCCGCGTACCTAGCCGGTGTCGAGCGGCCTCTCCAAGCAGCGATGCGTTACGGTCGTAGCATCGCTTGTCTGGTCTTACTTGAAGCTGGTGCTAATCCGCATTTGGTCACACCTGGAAGTTTGGCGTGGGTAGAGAGTGTGAAGAAGAGGTACCGGGAGGATACGAGGGCGGGTAGGGTGTTCAGGGAAGCGCTTGAGGTTTGCGAGGTGCCTAAGGTAGCGAGGGACGAGGACTTTCTTGTTGAGGTGGATGAGGCGGGTGGGGACGTGGAGGTTGAGGGTGGTGAGGAGGTGGAGGTAGGGGATGCCTAGGAGGATATGTTATGTTGGGGATATGCCCTACTTTCGCTCTAAGAGTAGCATAGACTGCAGGGCCTCATGGAAGTCACTAGATAGCCTTTTGCTGTAGCAATGTAAGAGGTATGCAAACTTGTGCTCTTAGTAGGATGCGAGGAATCACCATCCTCAGTTGATCTCATTAAGACACGATAAGATGAAAGTGACTCATGACGAGAAGGGTGTGCGCCGTGGGCATACGGCGAGGGGAATGAAGAGAGGACGTGGAAGGAGAGTTTCGATATGGTGGGGCTTCCGCTGGAGTGACAAGGCCGATCATCGGCGTTTGTAGGCCGATGTCTAGATGTTGTCTGCAGGGCGTAATTCTCAGGGGTCGGTTGTATTTGAATCCGTCGCCCACGGTCCCGGCTTCCCGTGTGGCGCGAAGTTTGCTGCAACCTCATGAATGGGATGCCGCATTCGGAGCGGCACTGCCCGTTCGCCGCGCCGACACTCCTCCAGCTTTTCCTGCTCGATCCTTTCTCCAAAGACACCTGGGTACTTCCAATCTTGCAGTGACGGATGATTACCTGTTGTTACCAACACGCACCCATGTTGCGGTGCGCGTCGCCACCGGTGCACGGCCGCTACCAAGATACCATCCAATGCGCACGCCGTTCCAGCCGTCCTTCAGTCACAAGCCTCCCAGAAGGATGGAGTCGCGTCGCCCCGTGATGATTTATAGTCTCCTGTATGGTCGCATAATATAAACTTATGTCACTTGACATGGTTCCAATACGATCAGCATCCTCATTCGTTAACGAGATCCATTTCTACGTATACTAAGCTGTTCATGTAGACTAACGAATACCAACATCTTGACCTCGTGGCTCATATTACCCCCAGATCCGAATCCAGTAAACGAGACCTGCGCACCAACACGATGTACGCCCTGCAGACAGTCCTGGCTACGCCCTAACGAGGACTCAGGTCGTAGTTGCTTTGGATGGCCATACAGGCTATCGCCGGTTCCCGTTCGACCTCGCCACTCGCAATCTTGCGTTCTAACTCCGCCCTTCCCTCGCGGTGCTTTCTCATATTCTCGTCGCGCTCGTTCTGGGTGCCGAAAGTTGGAATCAGCCCTGCAGGGGGGTTCATCCACTGCCTACAATTGCAGCATCATGTCAGTCGATGTTTTCGCTGCTCAATGAACGTGCGATAGATAGTGCGACTTACTCCTGTGGAACCGTTCTACCATCAATCCCGCGAAATCTGTCCTCTTTCTCTTGACTCCATGGACCTCTGTCCAACCATGATTTGATCAGCTCCGGCGACATGGGCTTTGCATCAAAGATGTTGGTTTGAGTGATTTCGTCAGGCGGCCCAGGTAGGTATTCGATGACTCTCATCACGCCGTCTCTGCAGATCATGTGGAAGTGATGGCTATTCTCGCATTCTCGCATAGAGTCGATGAAGATCTCCAGCGGATCTGTCACGACTCTCGCTCCAGTGGAAGCGGCGGCCTTCTCCACGCCGCCTTCGTGTTGACTCTGGTCTGCGGTTGAAGGTTCCTCGTTGTTGGCGTTGAATCCTTTCTGGCTCCGCGGCATTGGCGAGGATGAACAGGACATCGTTGATTCGTGTACAGTGGGAGATAGGATTTAGGCAAGTAGCACTAGCTTCAGGTGTTATTAAATGCAACCTCGGGTGGAGGGTTAAATAGAGTGGTGGCAGCAGGCGACGTGGTGTCCGCGAGAAGAGGATGCAGTGCGCAAAGGTTGAGATGCGGGGCGTACTTATAGACGGCACACCCAGGCAGTGCTGACCAACAGAATCCTGCATGACGCAGCATTGCGATCTACCAGCCTCGCAGTCATGTGAGTATGCGCCAACATGTACTTCGACAACTTGGAGGGATCGAGAAGAGGCCCAGCAGTGGCCTATAAAGCCTCTATTTCTCGCCGACGACATGAACATCATCCTAGTAAAGCATACTTCAACAAATTCCTCTACACAAAGCCTCCTCTATCACACAGCGATTTCGACATGAGGTTCTCGTTCTTCGTTTCCGCCAGTGCGGCCTTTCTGTTAGCAGCAGCAGCGCCTCATGAAGATGTGGTAGGTACTCTTAAGGACCACGTTCAATCGACACTTTACTAACAACAAGACATTAGTCGCTCGACGAAGCACTCAAGAACTTCGATTACGGCGCGATGATGGATCTGGGACGCGATGGAGTGCTTCGTAGCTTGAACGCAGCACACGACACTGTATTGGACTTTGTCCAGCTCAGTGGGCCTCAGATCACCGAGTTCTTTGCTAAAACAGGCTCGGACCCATCCGTCATGTCCGGCGTGTACGTTTGCTCCAATCAACTCCTCTATCAGTAGATCTTGAGAATGAAGCTAATCACTATTCCAGCGATGGACGCACCGTGACGTCTGACGCCCAGCTATGGGCCATCCCGGACGACATCATCGCACGTGAGCCGACCGTCAGAACATCGGAGGCAAAGCTGCCAGGGGTGCTATCTGTGCACCAGAGGGCGGAATGCGTAGCGGGAGCGCCCTGCGATGAGACAGCTGATTGCTACGAATACAATTGCGCCCGCTGTCTTCGTGGGCCGATGTGCATTGGAGGTCCATCAGGCTGCCTCAATCAGAGCGGCAAGTGCGCTTGGAACAGATGAGAACTGCGTCTTCTACCGTTGACTCTGCTTTGGAAACCATGGCTAAAGCCTATCACACTCGTTAGAATCCACTGAAATGAAAGATATTTCCAAAGCATACACATTCCTTGTTTGCGCGATTTCCATGTGACGGCGTGGATGGTTTGACAAACATTGCGCGACTCGACCGAATGAATACTTAAGGCTACACTCTGACTCCAGGCTTCTACTACTTTTCATTGTACAAAAGCGCCCTATATATCTACCCTTTTCGCTTTTCTACTTGGATCACAGACTTCTGCCCAACAACACTTGTCTATACCGGGGTGACCAACAACTTCAATTAACCCCAACTACCTCTTCGAAACACACATTCAGCCATGTCTTCTACAGTACTGATCAGCGACCTTCCCTCCAACTGCGAGTCATCCTACGTATTCACTGAGTTACGTTTGCACGAAGACGAAATCGAAGAAGTTTACACACGAGCGGGAGGAGGCGAGTCCGCCTGGATAGTCTTCAAGGCTCCCGAGCTCGCCGCGATATTCGAGAAGAATCACAAAGGCTACCACTTCGGGGCAACCGGCAAGAAGATCGCGACCTCATTCTGGAACGAAGCCATTCCTGAACACGCCACCAATCGCTATTCCGACTTCGTCAGCGCCCGGGATCACCAAATACACTCACGCACCGTTGAGATCACCGGTCTTCCCGCAAAACACACTCTGAGTGACATGAACAAGTTGCTAGAGTCGGTGCGAGACCATTACATTGAAGCCACCAAGCAGAACCAGCGTCTAAACCCAACCGACTATGGCTACTACGAGCCCATCAATATCCTTCACGTTAAAACACCCGACCCGGGAGTTGGACTTTTGCAGCTCGCGCAGCCGTGGATGGCGGTCGAAATAGTACGCCAGTACGCGGGTACTTACTGGAAGAACGCCACACTCAACGCTCGATGCGTTCCTGATGAAGAAATGGAGAAACTGCTTGTCAAGGAGCCCAGCGCTACGGACGTATCGCTCTTCGTCCGTGGCGTGAAGGTCGGTATTTCGTCGACAGAGGTGCGAGAGATTTTCAAGGACTTCCCCATCACCGACGTCAATATTCTACCAGGCAAGACATTCTGCTTCGTTGTCGTTCAGCAAGCGCAAGCAAACTCTATACTCGCACAGTTCAAGAATGGCGTTAAGTGGCAAGGTCGCACCATCAAAGTGGACTTGTCGGACAAGGATAAGAGGAAGAAGAAAGCCGAGTTTGGCTCTACCAGCGCCCCTCCAATTGCTGCTCCAGCTCCTCTACCACCTACGGGTATCACGGACTTGAAACTGGAAAATCTGCCATACGACATCACAGACCTCAGAATCCGTACCATATTCGAGGGCTTCGCCGTATACAAGGTCGTCGTCAAGCAGGGCTACGCTTTTGTGGGTATCCCGACAGGGGCAGTCGGCCGCGCTCTCGATATGCTGAACGACACGATGATTGGGGCTGGATACATCAAGGCCAAGGTTGCAGATAGCCGGAAGAAATAGGACTGCAGGTCTGCTTCGGTGCTATGAAGGCGTCGAAGGGGGTTTACGAGACGTCAGAAGCGGGTCGTTGCGTGTTTTGTATCTGTCGGCTGGTGCGTTGATGGGTACTCTGGATAGTTTGGACGGCTTGTAGGCGCTTGACTGTGGTAAGACTCTGAGGATTGCGATTTCTCTTATTTGATAAGGAGTGTCTTTTGCGTATGTGGTGATTATGTATTTCGGGAGTCATGAGTGGCTCGTCTCGCTCTGCGTCATCGCAGTACCATGGATGGGATGGAAAAACCGAACTTTTTGACCGTGGTAATGAAATACTTGCAAATATATTCACTGCAATGTTGCCTTCATGATGGATGGTGCCTTGGTTACACTGACCATTCCTTGTATGAGCATGCTCGAGCTTCTATAATTCTTGCGTATTGCGTCCTAATAACACTTGCTGCTCAGCTAAACACTCGATCAAGCCGTACGCTCAAAGTTCAACCATGACAGACTACACCTACTACAGTTCATCCGCGTCCAGGGGCTTCACCTTTTTAATACCCTACCATGTGCAAGCCATCTTTGTCAGTACTACGAAGAAGCTACCTTCCGCCGTCCGCCCCGTGTACCGCGAGTATTTTGGCGACATCATGGCATGTCGAGATCGAGCTCGAGACTCGGCCGAGAAGATGCAAGCGTTCGTGAACGAGAACTTTCTGCATATTTCGAAGGACCATAACCGACTAGCGAACCTGATGAATGCGGAGATCGATAAGCAGAGGAAGAATGTGTTGGTCAAGATCCCAATCACGGGCGATGGAACGGCGGCTGAAGACGATGAGGGGGAACCGGTGGCGCAACCGCGTGAGAGGGAGCAGAATGTCGCTACTCCAGGCAAAAAAGTAACACCGGAAGTTGTGTCAGAAGCCGCCGCGAAGGCGACAGTGTGCGAAGAGTCCCCTGAAGCAGCCTCTCCTCCGACTTTGGCGAATGCGGAGCTTGTTCGGCCAACCCTGCTTCAGGGCCCCGCGACATCGTCGGCTTCTCCAACCGGTATAAACAGCGAACAATCCGAGGCAGACGAGGAAGACAGCGAGATGAGCGTAATATTGCTCGACACATCAGAGCCTTGGAACGACTCGCTTTGGCCACACGGTGCCTGGGTAGATGGCCTGGAAGTCATCGATGCGCTTCCATGGGCGCGCCCAAAGCCGACCTAATCGCATCTTCCTGGACGGCCAGACTACCAACAACGAGCCACAACATGCCGCGGCTAATCCTCATTCCTCTTAATCCCCGCTTTGATGTCCCAGAAGCAGGTGACCTGCAGCTTTCCTCTGCCGACGCACTCAGGGTTGTCGCAGTGGAACCGCGAACATCGTTCTCGGTAGCGGAAGTCGATGTTACTGAGGCAGTACATGCATGGCCATAGGTCGACGTAAGGGAAGGTGGCCTTGATCTCGTACGTAGCGTTCCTGCGTTGAGTCAGATTAAAAAGCGTTTAGAAATGACACGTTAGCACTCACCTCCACTTTTGGATGTCTTCTCGCGTCAGGTTGTGCGATGCCGGAGGGTCTTCTTGTCTTAGGGTCGGGGTATCGCTTCGTTTGGCTGTTGAAGCGCGTGCATTCGTGGGTGCTGGAGCGCTTTGCTCATCGGATTGCCGAAGCTCACTGCTTCTCCGACGATTCTCGCGTCTCAGTCGTTGGGCGTTCATGTCTTGTGGTTGTTGGGTTTCCTGAGCGCTCGGTTTTGGGGTGTTTCCGTATCCGAACAGCGGCATGGTTATCGTCGTGCGATGTGTGCGATAAAGATCGACAAAGTGGAGGTTTTTCCGGGGAGTCAAAGGAGTGGTTAGCTGTTCAGCAAACGAAATTTTGTGTGATGAGATTCACTCGCGTAGCGCGTGGCCTTCAACCACGTAACCATGAATTTCGGGATGTGAATATGTGTGGTTGTCGCACGGTTCGAAAAGACATGATGACGCGTACTGTACCAAATATTCCACGACAAGCTGGAGACCAACTGGTCTAACAGTGGCTTGACAAAGCGTCTTGGTCACGCGGCGCATCTATCTTTCGTTGATCTTGTGAATTAACAGATGCCGTGTTGCTGAGTATCATTCGCATCTCCATGGAAGGCTCTCCAGTACAGGCTGAGTACGGCAAGGTTGAGTATAGCTGACAAGAACTAGAAACCATTCAGTTGCTTTTCCAGTTGGAAAGATGGCTTCTGCACGTGAAGCCAGGCATCTACTGTGAGCGTTGTCTTGATACAAGCGACGTATGCGTCAATGACGATCATCGCGGTGCGCGTGGCTGCATCCGTGTGTTGCAGGATGGAGATGAAAGTCACATTTGGCGAGATGCACAAATGTGACTGAGCTCGAAAGTCATCGCGACGGCAAGTTGATGTCTTTTTCGCACAGGTGGAAGGTTGAGATATCGTTGCCGCTGTCGCGCAAGGTCAAGCCGCACCAAGACGCCATGACCACCGCGTCGGCCGAGATTACTCCGACCGCCGACGCCGACGGAACTTCAACCACCCACAGGCAAACGTCCATTTCCCGACATCCACGACGAGAGATCTGTACACTATGGCGTCTCACCGTTCGTCGACTCCCAGACCCTCAAAAAAATACATCCTCACGACTTCTTCAACCGACGTAATTGACACGTCGCATTAAAGAGCCGGAAAGCTGCTGTTCTCACACCCGACGCGCGTGTAACCAGTCATCTGAAGAGCACCCATGCTTCAAGATGATGCGCATGCTGGTGCTTTCAAAATGGACCTGGTGATGAATACGCGTAACGATGTGAGCGCCGGAATCAATATTGTAAAGAGGATGTATCCTGAAAGCTATGTGATGCGTCTGCATTCGTGATATCAGCGTGTGCCGATGTTCTGGACTGTCGGTGTGCGACGACGAACGAGGGCGCTTACGCCGCAACGACGGGTAACGAGACGAAGTTGAGTTGGGTTGCGGAGGCGGCTTGGGTGATGCTGCTGAGAGTGCACCTTGGACTGACCCAGATCGTTATCTATTTGCGAAGAGATGGTATGCAGGCAATGCGCGAGAGAGTACATTGGCAATCCCATGCTGGGCGAAACGGCAGCCTGGCATCACTCAGAGGTGTCTGCGCCGCCATTATACAGCGGTCACCATATCCAAGACCACCTCAGATGCTCGAATTCGGTATCGCACTTCTTCATTTCACTATGACGATGCGGCGGATGATATCACAATAGGAAGCAGAAATCATTGTCGATGCTGGGCACGTTTAGCGCCGTATATACTCCCCGACCTCTCACTCCCAGGTCCTCCGCCATCCGCTTCACTTCCATAGCTACTCTACTCTAGAATGGCCACGATGACACACCGCCAACAGCGAAAGACGACCACGACGGCTAAGCTAGGGAATCTAGACGTTCTCCTTATCGCTCTACGAGCTGACCTCGGCCCCGACTGGGGATGCTACAAGGAACTCATAGAGGGGGCTGCAGATGCGAAGGCAAACGGCGAGAATGTTTCCGCCTGGGTCGACCAAATCGAGCCGCTCGTGCGAAACACCGCTTCGCAATTCGCGCATCAGGGAGTGCTGTTTCTGTTAGGCATCAAGGTGGGTAGTGAAGGTGAGATGTCTTTCCCTATCTAGCACCTTCACCTCAAAACTAAACACTCTCAGCTTCTTCTGTCACCAAGGCCACTGACGCGACCAACGACATGTCCGCTCCACCTCCTGACACCCGACGTCCATCGCAATCAGCTTCTTCTGTCACCAAGGTCACCAACGCGACCAACGAAATGTCCGCTCCACCTCTTCACACTCAACGCTCGCAGCAACCAGTACAGCCCCCAGCCAACATGCAGAACAACTTCACACCCAGCTGGACACCCATGCCCTCCCCCGGTCCTAGCCCCTACATGCCACCGACACCCACCTCCGTCGCATCCAAAAAACGCTCCGCCGCCAACGTCGCCTTCCACGGCCAGAAGCAGACTACCGCGACACAACCCCTCAAATCCGACTGGTTCGGCGGTTACGTCCTTCACCAAGATCCTGCCTTCCGCCGCGACGTATTCGAGTTCTTTGGACACGCAGTACCCGACAAGCCCGATCCCAAGCACCACGATCAATCCGATGTTTCATCCGTCTACAAGGCTGCGGATGACGACCTGGCGGTCTGGAGGGCAGGCGCTGGGGCTGAGCGCGAGGTGAAGGACGACGGCGCGGAGAACGTCAAGGACAGGACCAAAGTTGTGGAGGATGCGAAGCGAGAGCGTGTGCGAGAAGGCTTGCGATACAAGCTTTTTGACAAGTTGGATTGATACTGGCCACTGATGAGGTGGGCGCTTTTGAAGTCAGGCGTCTGCGCGGGCTGACCTGGTGCGGAGACGAGCGACGTACGATCTTGTGGAAGGGCAAATGAAGGGCTTTTGGAGAGCGCGATAGATGGTAGGGCTGGTAGGGAAGGCGTTTGGCGTCGCTAAAGGACGAATGATACCCCCGGAAGACTTGTGAATGATACTTCAGAAAACACACCTCTCCTCCCCCATCCATCTATGCAACCAACGCACATCCACCCTTCACTCATCCAAAGTCTACTACCACGTCAACAAAGAAAAAAACCGAAAAGGCCTGCAGCTTACATTAACATGGAAGTATGGAAGATAGATGGCGTGGCGTCGATGTAGGCTCCAGACCTGTCCAGGTTTTTTTCTTGTATGAGGTGCTACAACTTCTCCGCCAACCCCCCTCTCTTCGCCTCAAAAGGCACCGCCAAATTCTTCTCCGCCCACTCCTTCTCCGCCTCCGTCCCCGGCATCGGCGGCACCATCCCATTCACCTTCCACAAATCCCTATCCACATCCTCACAACTATACTCCCAGTCATACCCTTTATCCGCGATAAACGGCTTCAGCGCCGCGTCTACAGCATCCATAAAGCGGTGTTTGTGCTCGAGTGAAGTACTATTTCCAGTCAGCCCGGGCATCCACGAGTCATACATACACTAGGTAGGGATGTAAGTAAGTACAATTGCCTCGCAAGATGCTCCATCTTAATCCGTATCATGGGGACTGAGCTATCGCGGCCGGGCTTGTTGGCGTCAGTCATGGGAGAGGGACGGGGTACGCCGCCGATGAAGAAGGAATCTGGTTGGATGGGCTGGAAGAGGACGTTTACGTAGAATCTAGGCAGGCCGACGATGGTGTAGAGTTTTGTGATTTCGTTTGCGAGGGCAGTTTTGTCGGCGAGGGAGGTGAAGGTGTTGGGTGGGTGGTAGATTATCCAGAGAGGCATTGTTGAGGATGTTTGTGAGGTTATGAGCGAGGGGGAATGGGATGATACCTAGGCAATAGTGTTGACTTTCTGGATATGGGGTATACTACGAAGCTTATATAATATCCACATACATTCATGCCGACGATGTAGGTTTACCTAGGTAGGCTACACGTGATTTGGAATAGTAATCACGACCGAGTGGTTACTAAGGGCTGCGCTAATCATGCACTGCATTGGGACTAACAAGAAGACGTAGATCTTGGTACACCGCGCAAAGAACGACTAATCATGACCGATGGCGGTCTTCTGGGCTTCGCTCTTAGATCTGAACTCTTTAAGCGATTAACCTTGCGTGTAACTATTATAGTGATTTATCGTTGCGCGGGAACGTGATTTTGTGGGAGTTTATTCCCCCGCATATTGTTACTAGACGGGTATCACTAGCACTGGATACTAGTTTTCGGGGCTAGCGTGATAGGTAGACTATCTTTACGTCCGTAACAATCGTTGGCTTGCCCGCGTTGAGGTATGCGGCTCTATTCTACAACGGACCCGCGTTCACAACTCCGCCACAACCCTTCGTACGACTTCATCGAGATCTTCCTCTTGTAGCCCTAGCAGATCATTCGCAAAGCCTTCCTTCTCTTTCCAGTCCGCAGCGACCACTCCCCACACTGCGACGACCTCTTCCCTCGCCTCACCATCCCCATTTAGCATCTTCGGCCGAGACACATCCAACTCTTCCTTGCTGTTCTGATCGATGCGCTCGAACTTGTCGCCTGTAGCCTTCTCCAGCGCGGCAAGGACCTCGAGTTGCGTGACATGGTGGCTGTGTACATAAAGGAGCTCGTTCGCGGTTTCATCTGGCTTCTCCAGGATCTTGATGACTGCTTTGCCGATGAAGTCCAAGTTTGAGGCGGAGAACTTAATGTTGCCGCCGTCGAGGATGTATGCTTTGCGAGCCTTGACATCGAACTTGAGCAGACCGCAGGTCATGCCCCAGTCGAAGAAGTGGCCTGTGACAAGACTCGTCCAGGTAAGCTTTCCCATGCCGCTGTCTCGCTCCTTGCCCTCCAATGTCAAGAGGTAATCCCGGACGTCTTTCTTGCCCTTCATCAGCGGTAGAATCTCATTCGTCTTGTTATCCGCAGAATCGCAGCTGCCGAACTCAGCAGGCATCACGCGCTTCACGCCGCCTTTGAACGCGGCGTCGATGAGCTTCTTCTGCGACTCCACATGGCTTCCTGCGATGGTTATGACGAGGGCGTCGATCTTGTTCTCTCGCAGTACTTTGGCGACTCCATCAACGTTGAGATCATCAGGGATAGTGATGACTTTTGTTTCGGGGTAGACGGATTTGGATGTTTGGCGGTTGAGGACGAAGATGTCGAACTCGGAGGTTTTGAGCGCATTGAGAACGGGTGCGCCGAGCGTGCCTGTGCCGCCGATGAGGGCGACGTTGGTGATGGCCATTGTGTGGTGCGGTGTTGATATATGTGATGGTTGCGGGGTGACTCGCACACGTCCGCTTTCGTGGAGAATGGGCGATCGGCTATGGGCGCCTAGTCACGGTCCTTCCTAATCGTGGAGGGCCATACATCACTTCTTTCGAACGGGAAATCGTACATTTCGCGACCTGCATCTCTATACGTGCGCGACAAGGCAAATACAGCTATCGCGAGGGGCATACCGCGTTCGCGTGTGTTGACGTCGATGATGTCATGGCACCTTCCGATGGCTACGTCGCTTGCTGTCGCGCTCTTGTGATTCCAGCACTTACAATGGTCTCGCCAACACATTGCTTGATATCACGCAGTCTTTGTACTACACTCGCGTATACGCCCAATGACTGAACATCATATCCTGGTCAGTAGTCATGTGTCGACTGCGCCGCATTGCATCTTCAGCGAGCGGGTGCGGGGTGAACGCGACTTCGCATGGAATCTCAACAGTCCGCCGATTGATCTCCACAACCTGAGAACCGCTTCTGTCCAGTCTCTAGCCTGTTGGCCATTTCAGCAGTACCAGCAGCGTATCACAAAGCTGACGTCGCCCACTGCGCATACCTGTCGTCTCGACTGCCTTCAATCGATTTATCGCCGGCGATATATCAACGTCAAGTCTGCACATCAAGATGGACGATCAAGAAGTGACCTACCAGTATCAGTCAATAAACGCGAGTGAAGATATCCGCGTCCTTCGTCTACGACCAGGCGCGTTTGCTGAGCCCCTTATCGGCAGCCTCGTCGTGCGGAAGATCGGGGATGACGAAGGCAACCCGCCCGCCTATGATTGCGTTTCTTATTGCTGGGGAACCCAAAAGCACTTCACATCTTTCATATGCGACGGTCAGACCCTGTGCATCACGGTGGCAGTTGATGAGATGTTGCGACATATGCGGCAGGCCATGGAACTGTGTGATCTATGGGTAGATGCTAGTACGTATCGACGTATGCCGCAACGCACCATGTATTCTGACCAGTGCCATAGTTTGTATTAACCAGGCCGATAGTGAAGAGAAAAGCCAGCAAGTGCGTACCATGGATAGAATTTATGCCTTAGCTCACTCAGTGCGGGTCTGGCTGGGCTCAGCGACCGACGAAGAGGTTGATTCTGTATGGCCAATGTTCAGCGCCAGTTCTGACGACCCGTATAAAGATAGCCACATACAGATTGAGAAGAGAAAAACATGGCTACATGCTCTTGACGAAACGACTTCGACCTCTCGGTTATTGAAACGATTCTTCAATCGAGCTTGGTTCACAAGACGATGGGTCGTGCAAGAGGTGGTTCTTGCCCGTGAGGTAATCGTTCATTGCGGGCTTCATGAAGTTACATGGCATAGATTTTACCGGGGTGCGCGCGTACATTACCTAGTTCTTGAAGAGCAGCGTAAGGTTGGTGGTTGTGATGTTGCTACTGTGGCAAATCAGGTCTTCGATACTATTGAAAGCTTGGAGAATTCCAGGCTTCAAAGGAAAGAGCGTGTTTGGTTTAGGGGAAAGCGCCCAGATTCTCAGATTGAGAAAGCTTTGCAACTTCTGGAGTTATATCATGCAGCTGAGTGTGTGGACGAACGCGATCGCCTGTATGCGTTGTATGGCCTCTCAATGAGCATGTCAATGAGCATAAGACTGCCCGCTGAACAAGACCCCAATTTGATGCAGCTGTGCCCTGTGGATTACAGCAATCACTTCTCGCACATCTATACGAAATTTGCCGTCGGCGCGATAGAATCTGGTAATCTTTACAATGTTCTTGCAAACGCGATCGAATTCGGAACCCTCTCCCAGCAGGATGAAGGCTGGCCTTCTTGGGTACCAAGTTGGAATCGAAAGAGGAAGCTGAACGAAACCGAGGCTTGGCTCAAATTGGTCGCGCATAATCCTCAATTTGGACCGAATGTCCACGTCCCTCCCAAACTTCGATTTCCAAAATGGAAGGACGGGGTGACGGAAGATGAAGCAACGTATACCCAAGAGTATGCGACTAGAGCAATTCATCTCCGTGGTTCTATCCGTCGTATTTGCGAGGCTCAACCGAGCACCTGCAGTCTGGACGTGCTAGCGTATCTAGACACTATGCTCGATCGTCAATGCGTTGGACACGCCTTCGCAAAGTCCAGATACATTCTGGCGTGGCTAGTGATGCTCGTTCTCTCCGGGCACAGCAGAATATTGTTACGACCAGGCCTCGACCAAAAGACCTACTTGACTTTCAAGCCATCTTACCAGAAAGAGTATCCGGAAAAGGACACCATCACATATAGAGCTTTGAAGAGAGTTCTAGGGCTACCTCTGGCAGAGTCTACAGAATGGAAGTACGACTTAGACCAAGACAAGTTTCTGTCCGAAGTAAGGCGAGTACTGCAAGGCCTCTATCCATTTCGCTATGATCACGATGGATCTCCGGCGTTCGGTATCGCGTTGGCAGAAGTAAGGGCAGGCGATTTTGTGTTCCGCAACACTCAAGTAGCCAGCCATAAAGATGAACAGGGAGACCCTACGCCTCCGATCAGTGGGTTCATAATACGGCCTTATCAGCAAGCGAGCGCTATAGGCCCTGCCACTTTCCGTCTTGTTGGCATGTGCTTTGCCTACTATCCCGACTTGAAGGACCCAGAGTTGGTCGAAGTTGTCCTGGTGTAGGGAATACAAGCTGGAATTGGTACAAGCAAGCCGGGAGTAATTTGAAGCTTCAAGAACACATGGACATCGCTTTGATCTGCCACATTGAAGAACACATATATAGCTGGCCTGCACACAACTCGGAGAAAAATTCGTTGTCGTCTCCTGGACTCAAAGATACCAAAGAGAGACATCCTTTGAAAAGACACAACGATGGGTCGCAGCTGGGAGGGAGGCAGCATCGAGGCCCATTATACATGGAAGAACATGAACAGGTGCGCTGCCGTCTACAATGACATACGAGACAAAAGCTGATAGCATTTCAAAGCAATGTAGGCTTCAGATCAAATCATGCCCCAGCGAAGCTGCGGTGATAATGCAGGATAATTGTGCCATCAGGAAACTACCGACGGAGTAGGATACGTTGAGAAATGCGATCAAGCGGTGACACGCCGAACACTGCAGCGGACAACCTCAGAGCTATCGAGAATATCCCGTACACTAAGCTCTAATTCCAGTGACCAGCCCGATGTTGGAACCGGCCTCATTCTGAGTCGACAGCGCGTCCTCTTCATCCTTGCGATGAGTCGTGGAGAACAAGTCAACAATCGCGATGGCAACCGCAATGGCGATTGCGACAGCGACAAAGATGAAGCGAGCGCCGCAGATGCGCCGGTATTGACATCACCAGGCGTGAGAATTCATCTCGAAGATGCCATCTCACAAGATCCGTATAGCAGCGCGTGATGCGCAGAATCAGAATTGCGATAGGCGATATTCCTTCTTTTCAACATGTGCATTTGGTGTTCTCGATGCTTGGGAGCATTTCAGCGGTGTCTGATCCGGAGCGTGCATCGGGGCACCCACGTGCCGACGCAAGTTGCATCGAAAAGCACGGGCGAAACCGGAGACGGAAGAGCGCCCGGGACCGCGATAAGCTTCCAAGGTTTAGCCCTCCACGCAATCCCCATCACCGTTTCCAATAAGAGTCATATCGCGGTGGGAGTTTG